CCCCCGGGCATTCATGACAAAAAATAGTATGTGCCACTCGGCCCGTAGTGTCGGTTTGCGATTCGTGTGAGTTAGCAGCACTCGGCGCGGTAAGGCGGGACTCGTCTCTACCTTACCGACGCCTCGTGCTGCTAACTTCACACTCATCGCAAACCTCCACTTACGGGCCTTGTGACACAAATAACTATTTCGTCACAGCGTGATGAAAACCATATTCTTGGCGTTCATCCCGAAACAGCCTTTTGTGTTTAATTATTTTCAAATTCTCTGCATCATAAAACATAAAAAAATTGGTGAACATTTTTTAAGGACATTTTTATCTATCTATGGGTATATTTTTCTACCTATATATTTCTCTTATGGGGTCAAATACCAGATTGACTACACTATATTGGACTGCCAAATGGAATATGGTAACCCGGCTGTGGCGCACTTGGTAGCAGCATGAGATTCACAACCTCAAGCTCCCAGGTTCGAGCCCCGGCCGGGCCAGAATTCCACACCAATTTTTCATCACAAATTTCTACATAATATTCATCTGAAAATTTAACACAATTTTCAAACCCAATATTCCACAGATTTTCCAAGTGAAAAAACCCACTCCATATTCGACATTCCCTGGCTGAAGGCCCTCGGGCGATGGCCACATTGGCACGTTAACCCTTGCGACGAAAAACCGGTGAAATTTGAATTTTTTTGGAATATTGTTATCCATTAACCCCTCACGGACGAGGCCCTTTTGTTTTCAAGCGTAGAGAACGCTCGATACAAGTAAAATGTAATGATTCCTAATCAACGGAAAATTATGAAACCGATATGTAATTGAAGCTACAATATTCGATTTTTCGTTGCTATTTATTTGAGTTAAATTCCATTTTTTTGAAAATAATCAATTTTAAAGAGAGTCATTCATTTTTTCGTGAGCATAGTATTGAGCGGTTAAATCACGTAATGTACGATTAACTATTGCGAGAGCATTCTTCGAGCCATTGGAGCTACATCCCAAACTATGACATCAATGATACGCAAACTATTTGCTTTTTTTGAATGTTTCTTAATATTCGAAAGCGAATCATCATACAAAGGAACTGGCATTTGAAATACTTTATGAACCATTCGACCATTTGGAAGTAGTATTGCTACTATTCCAGTGAATGTCATCGACAAATACTTTTCCTTGGTATAACGTCGTAAAAATATAAGTTTTGCTTGAACTTCCAGGTCCATCAATATAGAAACATTTCTCAGACATGTCGTCAGCATTACCATTGACGATTGAAAGAATCCCAGTCAATTACTGGCATTGAGGATAACTGACTGAGATCCGAACATTCAGAATGTAGTAGTTCATCGACTTGAATGTAAGTCTTTCGATAAGCATACAGTCCAGCACTAAAGTTCGTAAACAGAATACATAGAGTGCAAGTTCAGGCTGTTCACGAACTTTAGTGTTTGACTGTACATTGTCATTATTTTTCAAAAAATCTTCAGACATGGTATTTTAAAATTTTTCCCATATTTCATCTGGATGATTAGGTTAAGAATATATATATATGTATACGTTTGACCTATATTAATAAAAGTGGTAAGTGGAATAATTCAGTCTGAGTAGGGCTAACTTGATACATGCATCCAATTATGTTGAAATGCACTTTACATGTCTTCCAACATTCTTTGTCATAACATCGATTCGTAAACGTGTAGTGCGAAAGAATCTTAGAATATGTGAATTTACGTCCATTCGGATTAGTATCTCCAGACTGAAGTGAGTCAAAAAATACTGTTGGTGTGAATTCTACGTAGTCACTTGCCATTGAAAATTGCTGACGATTACATCGAACTCTTCACTGAATGAGACAAAACCCATGTACACATCAGGTGGGGTGACTAATTAGGATAAAATTCCGCAATGGATTTAGGTTCTAGAATCACGAATTTTTTAAAACAATCGATTCAAATCAATCCCGGCATTACAATGTATGTGTATTGCAAAGCGTACCAAAATGTATAGATATTCAAACGTGGAAGATTTCTTACATTATAACGGTTTGCGTTTTGAATTTAGTGATACGAAAACGTTTATCTCTAAAAAATACTTAACGTATTGATTTCGGAATCGAAAGTTTGAAGAAACCGCCAGTACAGGAAATCGCCAATCAATAATGAAGGGAGTGCATTCGAAAATACATGAACATAAATGTATGGATATGTATTGATTCCGAAGTCACAGTTTGACAGGAAACGCAAAAAACTTGGATTTATAAAAAATCTTTAATCGATAATGAAGAAGACACTTGAACATAAATGTATGGACATGTATCGATTGCAGAGTCAAAATTCTACGGAAAACGCGAATTATGTAAAATCGATACTTGCTATCGATACTTAATGTTAAATCGATACTCGAAATCAATCAAGTGCATTTGAAGTTACACAAATATAAACGGATATCGATGAAATGGAGGTATGGATTCATTTCAAAGTCGAAATTTCAAGGGAAACGCGGAAAAACCCGAATTTATATCGAACTGATGAAGACATGAACTAGTATATTTCGTAACGAGTGCAAAAAAGTGTTTTTTGGCGAGTGGGAGGTTTATATCACGAGCCGAAGGCGAGTCAAAAAATGGTGTGCACTCGCCTTCGGCTCGTGATATAATCCCACGAGCTAAAAAAGATTTTTTCACGAGTTACGAACAATATTTTTCATCACAATGTGGCGGAAATTGGACTTTTAGGCACGCGGAGCGTGCCAAAAAGTTCACTTTTCGTCACAGCGTGATGAAATAGTATATTTCGATACAAGTGCGACGGGGTGGTAACGAGTGGCTTCGCCTCGGGCTGTCAACTTCACACTCGTTACCACCCCGTCGCACGTGTATCCGAACTATATTTTTTGTTAGTGATGTTACGTTCAGCGAGTGCCGAACTGTGCCATTTACTAGTAAACGAAAAGTCTTTTTGTTTACAAGTTTCGACTTTTCGTTTACTAGTAAACGAAAAGACACTTTTCGACACGGGCTGAACGTAGCAGCAGTGCCAAAATAGTATTTTCATCACGCTATGCGAAAAAGTAACTTTTTAGGCACGCTTCGCGTGCCTAAAACGTCCCTTTTCCGCACATTGTGATGAAAAATATCGTTCGATACTCGTGGGAAAAGTGTTTCTTGGCTCGTGGGAGGTTTATAGCATGAACCGAAGGCGAGTGATGTAATCCCACGAGCCAAAAAACTCTTTTCCGCACTCCTAACGAAATATACTAATTTCGTAACGAGTGCAAAAAAGTGTTTTTTGGCGAGTGGAAGGTTTATATCACGAGCCGAAGTCGAGTGATATAATCCCACGAGCTAAAAAACATTTTTTCACGACTTACGAACAATATTTTTCATCACAATGTGGCGGAAATTGGACTTTTAGGCACGCGGAGCGTGCCGAAAATGCGCGTGTCAATCACAGCGTGATGAAAATGAATTTTCGAACACGTATCGATTCCGGAGTCAAAATTCCAAGAAAAACGCGAAAAAACTTGGCTTAATTCAAATCGGATCGTGATATAAATACTCTATGTTGAATCGATACTCGGTATCAATCAAGTGCATTTGAAGTCACACAAACTTACATGGATAATGGTGACATGAATGTACGGACTCATTTCGGAGTCGAAATTTCAGGGAAAAGGTGGAAAAATCGAATTTATATTGAACCGATGAAGATACATGAACAAAAAATTTCTAACATGTATCGATCCCAGAGTCAAAGTTCCAAGGAAAAGCATAAATAAATAATAAATAATTAATCATAATTAGATGATTAAATCAGCGTTTTGCTATTGCACATCATGAACTGCATAGAGCATAGGTTGTCATGTGTCTACTTGGGTGCACCGACGCTACGATGCTTTATATATATCAAAGTAAATGATCTGATTAGTTTACAGGTTAAATGTGTGTATTCCGTGCTTGCACGTATAAACAAATTTCATAAGAAATTTTAGCGAATTCGCTAGAAAATTTAATTGGATTTTGATGCAGCTTCCGATTAGTTTTTGGTCAATTCTATCAATCCTGTGAACGGAGCACGGTTGCCTGTTCCCCCTCGCCCCTCACACTGTCCTGTTTTGGTAGGATTTTCCGTTCAGCCTCTATCAACCCTAAGGGTTATGCTGCAATGAATGCAACGCAAGATATACGCAACGCTTGCAATTGTTGCAAATAATCGAAAAACAGTTGAGCGATTGTTTTACGCGTTGCAAACGGTTCACGGTGCGCTTATTATGGCATCACCCTTACGCACAAGTGATGAAAAATCCGTCTTTTTTCTAAGGATTTCTCCTTTATCGTATCACACCACTTTTCTACAAGATAAGTATCTCCAAGACAATTTTATATGATTTTATGATTCCACGGCTTTTCATGATTGCAGACCATTCTTAACTATATTCAGAAAAACTATTAGAATCGGAAAAAAATGCGAAAACCACTTTTAAACTCATGAAATAGATTAGTCATTTGTTTTATCAAAAACGTTTTTTTATTAATAATGGAAAAATACCACCTAGGCACAATAATTTGAATAAATCACTGGTATTATATGCGAGATAGTAAATGACTATGGAACTAATTGAGTATCGGTCGAATGGAAAAACCCTTTCAATTAATTGCAATAGGTATAATCTCCACAGCCACCTAAAATCGACGACCAAATAAAATTACTTGGCACAAAGTATTTTTTTTGTAATAAAATAGAAAGAAATCACAATCAGTTTTTCCAAAGGAAATATCGCGAATTTTGAGAAACTTCGAAATTTCAGGAATCAGCAAAAACTTGTACTTTTCATCTTGCAATGACTAAAATTTACTTAATTAAATAGAGCTCATGAGAAAATGATAATGGTAATAAAAATAATTCATACAAAAATGCAATTAGGAAAAATATTTTGCGCTCATTCCCCCTACCTTTTCTTTAATGGAAATGCATTCATGAACTTGAGAATATGCGTATGAGAATTAAACTAATTACCCTAGGTGATATAATTAAAACTGGAATCCTCCTTGTGGGGCAGAATCGGTTGGATGGAAGTTGAATTGCCCATCAACAGTTTCAGGAGCAATTTGAGCATTTTCCGACTCCTGAAATGTCAGATAAAAGATAAAATTAATACGTTTGAAGTAGTACGAGCATCCGTATAACTAATTTGATTGCACATCTCGATTTTTAAAAATTAAAATCTGAGATAAATTTTAAAGGGAAAATCAAGTATAATAAAATATTTGGGTGAAATTTTTGTTCAACTAGCGTATGGGGCACGCTACACTGACAAAAACAAAGGTTTTTAAGAAATACGTCTTTACCTATATCCAGAAACTAGTGACTGGAAAATTTTTAAGAGTAAAATATCTTGCACTAAGAAAATAAAAACTTTCGTCAAGTAATTTTGTACTTGTCCTAAAGACGAGGATAATTTCTTGATGACAAGAAAGCAATTTCTCAAACCAAGTAAAATTGAATTAATTCGTTTAATAGTTTTTTAGCCTCAATTCTAAAATATTTCAATGCAAAAACCATTTTAATTGATTCGAGAACTCGTTTTCTTGATATGAAGAAATTGTCTTCATCTTTCAGATAAGTATAAAATTTCTTGGCGTAAAATTATTTTTTCTTAGTGTGAGATATTGTGCGCTTGGTAATTTTCAAGCCACGAATTTCTTGATGCAAGTAAAGAAGTACTTCTCAAAAACTACTTGTTTTTTCAGTGAACGCGCGCCTTAGCCTAGTATGGTGGCATATGTCTCACTTTTCATGCATACATAATTTGAACTCCATTTACATATAAACACAAATTAAATCTCAATCTATATTCGGCCACAACGAGCAATTGTGTGAAGTTGGCATCGAACTTGGGAAAAATAGGATTTTTCAAACGGCATACGATTGTACTGGTTTAGTACTCAATTATCCATCATTTCCGTGCTGCGAAGAATATTCATGCATTTTTCACGCAAGATGGTGTAGGGGTAAAATGAAAGTGAGTCCAGGAAATTTAAGTGTTGAATGGATACAATAGTACGCCGTTTGAAAAATTCGATTTTGTCAACTATAATGTCAACTTCACAAAGCTACAACTACACTGAGAAAAAAAATTTCTAAGAAATAGAAATTCTATGATTGATCCAAATCGTTCATCGATTGAATAGTCGCAAAAGAAAATTCTATTGTAAGACACAAATATCGATTTGAACTAAACCAAAATTGGATTGTATGAAATCGATTTTGTTATAGTATAGTATATTTTGTTTATTCTATCGAATTTAGAAAATACTTGTTTTTGCGACAAAATCGATTTCATACAATTCAATTTTGGTTTAGTTCAAACGCTTCGGATTTGGCGCAAATAATTTTTTTTTCACAATTGCGATGGAAAAATAATCAGTTCAAATGATGAAGAATTGCATTTGTCGTAAACAAGAAACTGCGCTTCGCGAAAGTCTCGCATCAATGAGTATCCAACAATATGTTCCTCATAGGCCAAATGAATATTTTATTGCATCTATGAATTCTGCTTTCAATCGAACAGATATTCTTTTGCGGGATATCGTGACGCTGATAAATTGGATAATTATATGCTTTATTCGAAGAAGATATCTGATAATACAGACATTGCTTTGTATGTACTGAAAAGTAGATAGCAACAAAAAAAAAGTTTAGACAACTGATCTCATTCTTTTTCAATCGAAAACATTAAAATTAAATCGATATTTGTTTCTTACAATAGCATTTTCTTTTGCGACTATTCAATCGATGAACGATTTGGATCAATCATAGAATTTCTATTTCTTAGAAATTTTTTTTCTCAGTGTACCCGCAGTGCGATCGACCACAGTCAAAAACAATGCAAAAACCATTGCTCTACTTTGCGCCACCGTTCTACTTCGCCTCACATTCGCCTGTGTTCAAATAAAATAATTTCTTTCATCTTTTAAATTATCGACTTTTTTGGTTCAAATAAGACGTGTTTGATAATATATTATTTTTTCTCTCAGAGTAGAAAGGTCTAACAACCAACTCGATGGATGAGGAAATGAATGTTTTGAATCAAAGAAACAGGAAATCTCTTACCGCATCTGAAAAGAACGTATCGATCATTGAAGCAGCCTTCTGGTAAATCTTCTCATTCTCATGGTGCTGGAGATCCTCCAGCTTATCGAGCCCACCAACTTCCTCTATCATCATGGCGACCTGCTCAAGCTGTCCCATCTTCTCAGCTGCACTCAAGATGTTTGTCAATCCATCCAGGACAACGATAACTGCCTTTTGATCCTTCGCTTGTAATATGTTGCAAAATGGCTCTAAAACGCGGTGTTCAATCAACTGTACAAGCTGGTGAACTGACCCACCAGAGGTCAAGTTTGTCACTGCCCATGCTGCTTCTTTCTGAGCCTTGAAATCACCCTGTAGATAAGAAAGAATTATCGACAAAAATTAATTTGTTTCGGTAATCTGTACTTCCAATTAAATTCATGAAACGTGTGAAGAAATAGAATAGACAAAAGGATAGAGAGAAATATTCCCCGTTAACGTAAAACAAATAGCGAGGAACACCCAAATGATACTTTTAACAGATTTTCTGATGTTTACCCGTCCAATCATATTCAGAATCCATTAATTAGAAAGTATGTCAAAATGCATGAGGTAAGATAATAATTATAAAATAAAAACTAAGATCAATATTGGATTCAGAAGTGAAGTGGTAGAAAGTTCGTAGCTTCCTCTGTTGTGAGCAAAATAGATAAATTTTGAACAAAATGTCAACAGACATTCTTTGTGGCTGGTCATACTCCCTATAAAAATATCGTTAGCTGTATAGAAGACCAACGTAAGTGCCAAAAAATAGCTCCGTCAAGCTGGGCGGCCAGGGTACTCAGAATGAGTCGGTCAATAGCTCAAAATTATGAGCTTTTTACATGCTTTTTTTCTGCGCGAACCA